AAGACACAAATGACTGTGTTGACGAGGAGACATTTTGACACATAAAAATAACTCAAGTTTAGACTGGCGATGTACTAGCAGGTGCACGCCACGCCTGTTCCACTGCTTAATGTCCCTGAACAAGTTCAATTTGTTTTTAAACCATAATGCTTAAAATGCGTTTAAATGAAAAACTTAATGCCACACAAAACGATTGATATATTTATACCGGTTTATCTCTCAACCCATAAGCGAATATACTTTGTTCAAACACAAAAAGCAAAATAGCCTACATCCATCAAGTTGTTAACTAATCAAACTATCCTAAAATCTGTGGGGACGATGACGCTGTGATTTTATCTGCTCCATGTGCCCTGTCCACTTGCTGTTTCACAACTTCCACTCCATCATCATGTTTAGTAAAATAACCTGATAGATGGGGATTTTACTGACTAACTCATGTTTTCCCCTCTCTCTTCATTTTTTTTAGAATAGCCCCTCTCTCACTTTCTTTAGTTTACATTTTTACTTATCGAAGATTGTTCTTTGCATGACCATTTCCAGATTATGCCAGAACGAAGTGAAGAGAGGTGAATGCGGACATTGCAGCGATCACCTGATTGATACGTGGTGCAGGGGTCGTTCAAAAGTAAAAAATATAGAATAAATGCATTTGATTGGTAAACCAAATTCAAACATGACGTTTTAATCTCTAAAGGTAATGCATGGAATATATGGAAAAGCGCCACTAAATAATAGCGTTAATAAGTGAGGGGCGGGGCTTTGGAAATCGGCGCTACCGATGACCAGTCAATCTACTCCACAGGCCCCCCTGCATTGGCATCCATCAAGAGGGTAGGGGACCTGCATGCATTTTCGGTCAGCGAATTATGCCTAGAGTCTGGGCCTGCTGACTCCCAGGTAACCCTGAGGCCCCGGCTCTGTGCCCAAGGTTCTTACTACCCCCTTCAGGGATCAGGTAGTGAACCTGCAAGCGCTGCCCCCAGAGGAGGTAGACCCAGCCCTAGCTTTGCTCTGTCACGTCCGTGCCTTAAGATGGTGCGTGGACTGGACACAAAGCTTCAGGACCTCAGAACAGTTCTTTGTCTGTTATGAGGCTGGCAGAAGGGGAATGCCGTCTCCAAGCAGAGGATGGTCCACTGGATCGTGGATAGTGGGTCTGCCCTACCCACTCAGGTTGCGAGCTCACTCTACCAGAATTGTTGCATCCTCCTGTGCACTGGCTCGTGGCGTCTCGCTGACAGATATTTGTAGAGCTGCGGGCTGGGTGACCCCCCAACACATTCGCTAGTTTCTGTAGCCTTCGTGTTGAGCCGGTATCCTCTTGTGTTCTCACCTCAAATGGGTAGAAGCACAGAGAGACCCCCGGCTAGTGTCGGCTTGCTAAACTGCTCCAGAGTGTCCGTACTGTAGGCCCTGTCGAGCTCCTCCATCCCATCGGCAGCCAGATGTGGCAGAGTGTCTGGCACCAGGCCCTCACTCGATGAATCCATGAGAACCGGTAGAGGGCTGGGTGTCATATGTAGTGACCTAACTGGATCCCATATGTGTATTCTTCACAGTATAGCTTGAAGCCTGTGTTTCCCCGGCAGACTTATCTGCCATTCCTCAAGAGGGTTACAATCACCTCTAATCTTCCATATGTACCTAAATGGTTATCCATATGTGTAAATGCTTCCGACACCTCCTTCGAGAAGGATGGGGCTTCCGCAACATTCCTGTTCCAAGTAGAACAGGTACGTTTTCCCAGTGTTATCCAATTTCACTGAGTGGGTAGTGTTAAGACAACAGTGACTGGCCTTCCTGCTGCGAGCCCTGGTCGATACCCTAGGCTGAGAATCATCAGTTGTTGTATCATCCCTGAAATTCCATATTGGTGTACCCTTAGACTGGACCCATGAGCAAGATGGGAGCAGCATGAATTGTAACATAACTATCTAATCTAAAATTCTTATCTTCTTCCTGTAGGTTTTTGAAAAGTTCTGCTGCAGAGGAAGTGTGTCAGTATTTCACTGAAGTTCTGGGTAAAAGTACATTATTACTGAAAGAACTGGATCTGAGTGAAGATAAATTAGACGATCTGTATTGGGAGAAGCTCTCTGCTCTTTTGATGGACTCTCATAGCAAAGTGGAGAAACTTATGTAAGAATAACTTCTCTGTTTATCATTATAAAAGACTGTCAGTTACATGTATCATCAGATATGAAGACCTGTTGATCTGATGTGTGTTGAATATGTGCAGAATTATGAATAATGCTGTTTTTGTGTTTAGGCTGAATAATTGTGAGCTGACAGAGAAAAGCTGTTCAGTTCTAGCTATTGTTCTCTCCTCCAAAACCATCCTGAAAGAGGTGAACCTGAACAACAGCCGTCTGCTGGACTCAGGAGTCAAAGAGATCTGCGAGGGACTGAAGAATCCTGTGTGTGAGCTGAAGATACTCAAGTGAGTGCATTTCACCATCAGCTACACTCAACACCACAGCAATCAATGGAATATTATATATTTATTGGATCTGCTTACCTCCAGCAGTGGGAAAATTTGAAGAATATGTTTTTGTTGCTGATGTGTGTGTGTGTGTGTGTGTGTGTGTGTGTGTGTGTGTGTGTGTGTGTGCGTGTTGTAGTGGTTTTCATTCAATAACTGCATGGACACATATTTGTACATTTTCACACAGAAATTATGAGCCATAATTAACCTCACAACAGTGTTATCTCTAAATACAGAATTTAAATAATAATAAAAAAATTTAAAAATAGTTATAATAATATTGGTTCACAATTATATTTTTTCCTAGGTTAAGGATATAATTTAGAAACAAACTTAAACCACAGCTACACTCTTAAAAATAAAGGTGCTTCACGATGCCATAGAATAACCTTTTTGTCTAAATCGTTCCATAAAGAACCTTTCTGTTTCACAAAAGGTTATTTGGGGCGAAAGAAGGTTCTTCAGATTATAAAAAGGTAAGAAAGAGATGGTTCTTTAAAGAACCTTTGACTGAATGGTTCTTTGTGGACCCAAAAATGGTTCTTCTATGGCATCGCTTGAAGAACCTTTTGAAGCACCTTTATTTTTAAGAGTGTATATGCAAAAAATCTAACTCATTTCTTTTCTAAATTATATACGTTTTTATTAAATAAGTTTATCACAGTTGTCTCAGTTATAGTGAAATGTGAAGGTCAGATTAGATAAATTTTTTTTTGACAATTCAATGGGCTATGTGTTACATACTTACACAATGTAGGTGGCAGGTCTTCAATTCATACTCTGAGAGCAATGGTAATTTATTTAATGTATAGGGTATATGTCCAAATACCTGATTACATACTTTGAAGTAGTGGTTTCCAGCCTGGTCTCGTTGTGTATACGTAGGTATTAGTATGTAAAGGTTACAAGCACAAAACATACATTTCTGTCAGAACCACTATCATCAAAGATGATTGACAATTAGCATACAGTTTAGCAACAGAACCAACATAAATGTATTGCAGATATCATTAAGATTCAATAGTTTAATGTACACATTTTAGAAATTAGCCTGATTCAAAAGATAATCAGAAGGCAAAATTCTGACTGGATGAGTGGAGGAGCTGGGGATGGAGGAGGGTCATTAGCTATTGAGCAACGTGAAAGCTGCTGATAATACTGAAGGACCTTATATAGGAAGCTGAGATAGGCATTGTATTCCTATAGGTAGACAGGGATCAGCTGAGAGTCAGCTGTTGCAAGCTTGAATCAAGCATAGCGTTAGTACTGGCAGGTCATGTTAGTCCAAACTGTATGCTAATTGTCAATCATCTTTGACGATAGTGGTCCTGACAGAACTAACGTGACCTGCCAGAACTAACGCTACACTTAATTTCTGTCAGAACCACTATCGTCAAAGATGATTGACAATTAACATAAAGTTTGGATTGGTGGTATGGTTCTGTTCTGGGAAAGAACTACATGCGCATCTATGCAGCCTAGCATAGATAAGAGCAGGGAGAGCAGCAATAACTCCCCAAAACAAAACCATATGCTGATATCCCCAAACCCAAACTGACAGTGAAAATCTTAAAGCCTTAAGCAACAAGCATGTTGTCCTTACCCAATGACCCAAACAAGCATGTTGCCAAAACCCACATAAGTAAGGAATAATTGACTCCGGGCCGTTGAATTATTAGAAAAATAATGCACACCCGAGGTGGTGATGCGGCCACGACGCGAAGCAGAATTATTTTTCTAATAATTCAACGGCCCGGAGTCAATTATTCCGCTTATACTATGGTTACCACACCTCAAGACATCGATCAGATGATATATTTAAAGGGATTCGTCTGGTTTTTGTACTTAAATCGCTATTGTGAGTAGGATTATTTCTTAGATAAAATATCTTAAAAATACATATTTTCCAAAAAGTTACTGAAGTAAATGTAATGGAGTGGAGTTAATGTAGTTTGTTGCATACACCTCTAATTATAAAATGAGTTTTTGTGAGAGTGCATACCTCACGCTAGTCACTGATGGCTTCAGTGGTAGGAACGATCTTTGCACACTTTCTGTATAAAATGTATTTCCAGTTTGAATAATCATTTTGCTTTTCATACTACTAAAATAATCAATGAGAAATCTTGATTTTCTCATAAATAAAAAAAAGAAATAAACTAATTAATAAACTATTCTTAGCCAGAATAGTCTCTAAACACTTACAGTCATAATTCTCTAAACACTTCATTATCATAATTTTTAATATCAAGAGCAATATTAAACAATAATCATAATAATTTAAATTCATTTTTGTAATCATAATATTGCAGCCCTCCCCTTTTGAGTTCCTGTTTTTTAATTATGTAATTTATGCAGTCTGTTCGCATTTTTATCGTGTAAATACATGTGTGCCAACTTTGAGCTGCATTATTAATTGTAATGTTAATTGTAAATGTTAATTGTAATTCATGAATTTATTTTCTGTAGACTCTCAGACTGCAGTATCACTGAAGAAGGTTATAAAGCTCTGGCTTCAGCTCTGAGATCAAACCCTTCACACCTGATAGAACTGGATCTCACAGGAAATGATCCTGGACAATCAGGAGTGAAGGAGCTCAATGATATACTACAGGATCCAAGCTGTCAACTAAAACTGAGGTGAGGTGAGACATGATGAAATAATAAAAAATAAATTATATGCTAAATATTCATACAAAATACTTTTTCAGTAATACAGTAATCTGCAAATGTGCTGATGTTCAGTAGTGTGGTATTTGATTTCCATCAAGCCCAGATTCCCAACACTATATTGCTCTACAGCAGATCTATGAGTATCCAGGTCTTCACAAATGTGTCCAGAAAGATCTTGAGACCATTCAAAATGCCAATTTCATTGTCCATATTTGTACTGAAAATGAAGATCTAGTGATCCGATGCCCTGCCGCTTCTCTTGACATTTATACTTTCTCACTGTTTCTTTCAAATAAATATCTGAATGTCAAAAAGACAAAATTATTATTTTGTGTATTTATTTGTTCAAAATAAAAGTGCTGAAAGTAACTAGAGCTTGTCATTAAGAACAATGACAATTAATTTTGTCTTTGAAGGGGTCATATGATGTTGCTAAAACGAACATTATTTTGTGTATTTGGTGTAATGAAATGTGTTTATGCGGTTTAAGGTTCAAAAAACACATTATTTTCCACATACTGTACATTATTATTTCTCCTCTATGCCCTGCCTTTCTGAAATGCGTCGATTTTTACAAAGCTCATTGGTCTGAAAAGCGAGGTGTGCTCTGATTAGCCAGCTATCCAGTGCGTTGTGATTGGCCGAATACCTCAAGCGCGTGACGGAAATGTTACGCCCCTACGATACTGTGATGCCCTGTCCGGCCGGAGCGACGAGACAAAAACATTAAAACTCATTATAAACGAGGCGTTTGTTGCATCATGTGGGGACATAATTACGGATTATAATTACTTATACTGTCTATTTACGCATTGCATTGCGCCGAGTAAACATAAAACCATGTCTGCATTTGTGATTGGAGAAATGACAAACAACAAGCGCTACTCTACACTGCCCAAAACTCGCGTTTGAATCGTCAGTGGCAAATTCTTTATATATAAAAAACGTACTTACAGTCTGTGAGTCAGAACAGCTGGCATTGTAGTCTACTCTACCAGGTTCAGGAAACAGTCCTCCATAAAATGTGCTGCACACATCTGAATATTTGGGTTGAACTGTTCTGGAACAGTGTTGTAAATACAACTTAACCATTGATTTCTAGTCGTGTCCTCTTTTGGAAGGCCAAACAAAGTAGTTTCGCTTTCACAACGAAACACAGCGTCACACACGGCGGCTAGAGTGAGCGGCGGCGGGCGGGCTAGAGTAAGCGTAGGCTGGCAGCTAGAGTGAGCGGCGGCCGGCGGACTCGACGAAGGAGCGTCCGGCAGACTTGCGGCAACCATATGTGACGACCCTGGGCTGGACTCCACTTCGTTCACAGTGAAAGCCGATCCGGCGATCCACAGCGTGAAGTTGATGTATTTACTCAGTGACCAGCACGGAGCTTGTAACACTCCAAAGAGAAAGGAAAAATTGAAATCGCATCATATGACCCCTTTAACATATTTTAAAAGGCAATGGACATTTAGTTCAGAATTAAATTGAATCGTGCATCAACTTTTGCAGGTTTTTGAGAAGTCCTGCTGCAGATGAAGCCTGTCAGTATGTGACTGGAATTGTGGGTAAAAACCCGTTACTCCTGAGCGAGCTGAATCTGAGTGAATGTGAACTAGGAGACACACGAGTGAATCAGATCGCTGCTCTACTGCAGGATAAACACTGTACACTCAACACACTGACATGAGTATTTCACATCATTTTAAAATGTTATATTACTTTTAATAGCAGTTACTGTACTTGACAATAATATTTTCTCATTTGTTTGAACCAGGGGCATTTTTTCTCTCAACATCACAGTCACAGTAATGTGAAGTATTAAAATTAAACAGTAATTGTAGAGAGAGAACAATGGTTTTTCTAATAACATTTTGGAAATTGTACATCCCGAATGTAGATGAGACATGCAGTAATTCAGATAATTATGCCAGATTGTTTTAAAATATAAATATTATGTGTATGAATTTTCATGTGTAGGATATTAAAAACGAATAGGACATTTTTATCGTAATAAAAATTTGGCAGAAAGCAATGGAAGGGTGAGAGGGAGACTCATACTCAGGTCACCTGAAACACAACTGCACCATGTGTTAGAACACTGACTCCTACATCGCAGTGCTATTCTGTCAAAAACTTGTTTGATTGTTTTCTGCTTAAGAAATACTTTCATTGCTTAAGGCAAGACACCACAGGGTGAATCCGGAAAAAAAAAGTAGCTGTTAGATATCACCATAATTCCCCAGCTGCTTACTTGCATTGAGAATGAAAAAAAAAAAAAAGTTAAAAATAAGAAGGTTTTATGAATGTTATATTTAAATATGCAAATAAGGCATTGTCTGATTAAATATGCCCTAATTTGCATACATTTAGAGAACAGAAATCTAAACACTGATGTGATCTGATCATTTTTCTGAACATCTGAAACCTAAAGCCAAATTCAAAGTTTTATTTAATTTCGTTGACTTTAGAGTCAAAGGTTTTACAAAAAGGATTTTGGATAGCTCTTTTCATTGCTCAGAATATAAAGCGTTCAGAATATGCAGCCATGTGAAAAAGAAAGGATGGCTTTTCCATTTCTGCCTAGATTTTGTTAAATAAATAATGACATGGTGTGATATGTCATGTGTTGTTGTTCATCTGAGGTTTTATTTTCCAAATTTTATCTATCTATATCTATCTATACTCTAAATATGTTATGAACTGGCTCAAAATCACAACAGAAATAGGACACTTAATTAACAAAACTGGTTTAATTAAAGGTAATACATTTATTTAGAGTCAAACATAATAAGTCTAGAGCAAACAACACAAGAAAAAAACATGAATGAATGGTTGGAAATGGGGGTTTCAAATGGAGATGTGGAAGCAAGATTGGAATAATAACCCCAAGAACTCACTCTTCAACCAAAGAAATAAAACAAAAATGAGAGAGAGACAAAATCCAGGAGCTTCTTAAATAGGATGCCACAGGTGTTGCTCATTCTCAGTAAAGCAGCACCGGCCACCAAGTAGGAGTCTCTACCCTGGGATTTAAAAAAAACAACAAAAAAAAAAACCAAGGGGCATGGTTGTAACACTAAAACATCCAGTAGTTGTCAGCAAGTCACTATTATTGAGTGAGCCATTCAGTCATTCATTAAACAATTATTCCAAATGGCTGCTTCATTCAGAAATGAAGCAACTGACTATCTTTATGAATGGGTTACTGTATAATTGGCTTACTCGATTCATTAAAAAATTTGGATTCATTCAATCACAACAGCTCTGCTGTGGCTTTGGTTGGAAAAACACTGGCAATATTTTGTGTAAAATGTAACACGTTTATTGAACTGTTGTATAAAATCAATATCACATTTGCGGATATTTGAGGGAAAAACCACTCTTGCTCTTGTGATATTGCTAAACTGTAGTATGTATATACCCATAAAGGGGCATCTTTTGCCCTGTTGACTTGTATTTTAATTCGAACCCGGTCTCATGAAAATGCGTATAAATAGTATGCCAAATAAAAACGAAAACTCGTGGTATCGATACGCAAAAATGGACTTTGGCGTGTACATGATACGCATGTGTTTGGCATGCATATGATATGAAATTTGTTGGCGTGCATATGATACGCAGTTTTCGCGTACATATGATATGCATCTACCCCACAACCCTAAACCTACCCATCGCGTAGCATATACATGCCAAAGTCCATTTTTGCATATCAATACCACGAGTTTTCGTTTTTATTTGGCGTACAATTTATACGCACTTTCATGAGATCGGGTTGTTTAATTCAGTTCAATTCACATTTATTTGTATAGTGCTTTTCACGACCGTTGCAAAGCAGCTTCAGTAAATTTCAGTAAATTTCTACATTACATTTAGTAGTTTATAGGTGGAGATCAAGGTGATGTCAATATATTATTTTAGGGTCATATAACAGAATTCTCATGGGCTACATCATGTCCTGGATTATGTTTGTCAGCAGCTGCATGCAATGTAAGATGATGTGTCTAGGCCAGGCAGGGTATGGTAAATGTGTTAAAAATGTTAAATAATTATTTGTTTTCATAGTTAATTGCTTCGATTTAATTTGATAAATCAATCATATAATTGAAATCTATAGATGCCAATAGATAAAGTGTAATAAACACTGAAATGTGTATGTTTTTACTTTTTTTTTTTTTTTTGTATTCCAATTCTCTGAAAAAAATAGCAGTTATGGAAGCAAAATCTTATTTTTAAAAAGTTATTGCCTAGTGTCTTGCCTTAAGTAAAAACATTTCCAGTGTATGGCAGAATCTTGTTCTTGGTACAAGATGTTGATACTTGTAATTGTTTAGCCAAAAGAACATTGATTCACTAGAGTGAATTATGACAATTGTGAGTAAACAATAACTTTACAGAACAATTTTATGGGGGGCCCAACATTGCCTTTTCTCTTTCTGTCTTCAGTCTGTGTGGATGCAGTATTACGGAGAAACAGTGCCTCATCCTGACTTCAGCTCTGAAATGAAACCCATCACACCTGAGAGAACTGAACCTCAGTGGGAATAAAATAAAGAACACAGGAGTGAGGCACATATGTGATCTCCTGAATGATTTCCACTGTAAACTGGAGATATTGAGGTGAGGAACACTTTATACTCAGTATCTCACGATGAGCCTGAGTATTTTGTGATCTGGTGAAGTAAGTGCACTGATACCACTTTTTCCAGAACAAGACCAATGCTTTCATTTTTGGTCACCAAAAATAATGATTACCAATACCTGTATTTTCATTTTAATTAGCAAATAGAAGTTTCCTTGAGGTATTTTCACACTTAATTATGCCTGTTAAAATGTATTGTATGAGCTTCTTTCACTGTTCTTTCTATTGCTTTATCGTATTTTGTCTTTCATTTAACAGCACAGGAATTAGATCAGGGGTCACCAAACTCAGTACTGGAGGGCCACTGTCCTGCAGAGTTTAGCTGCAACTCTAATCAAACTCACTTGAACCAGCTAATCAAGGTCTTACTAGTTATACCTGAAACTTCCCGGCAGGTGTGTTGAGGCAAGTTGGAGCTAAACTCTGCAGGACACCGGCCCTCCAGGACAGAGTTTGGTGACCCTTGAATTAGAGCTTCTGAAGTGCAGCAGTACAGAAATCATGGCATTTTCCTGTAATGATGTGGGTTACCACTCATATATAAATCATTGTTTCTACTTGCATATACCATTTTGTTTTAACCCAAATGATGCTTATGTGCTGAGTGATGAGCAATGAAGAGCATGCAACAGACGTGTGCACTCTCTTTCTTTCTCTCTGTCTCTATCCCTTTTTCTTTCTCCACACCATCAAGTAGTTATAGGCGCATTGTTTTACTTTCTTTGCTAGTGACAACCAAACTACAAATTGTCCAGCGATATGTGCACAATACACAATAAATATTATTAAAATTATTGATTAATATTAATATGATATAAATATCCTATTAATTAGATACATTTACATTACACTAGACATCCTTAATCTCTGATGTCTCCATTCTGCTCTCTGTTTGTTCTGTTGTTGATGTTCTTCGTCTTGGCATAAGTACAGTACTTGCACTGCATGGTATCTCTTTTTGGTATCGGAGCCTTTTAATGAGTATAAGTTCACAAGAACAGTATACGGCCCGATACCGATACTGCATCTCTAGTGAAGATGATCTCTCTTGTTTTGTTAATGTAATAAAGAGTTAGCTTCTTATATTTTAGTTTATGCTCTCTCTCTCTCTCTCTCTCGATCTTGCCCAATGTTAGGTTAAGATACTGTGATATGACAGTTGAAGGATGTTCTGCTGTGACTTCAGCTCTGAAATCAAACCCGTCACACCTGAGAGAGCTGGACCTGAGCGGGAATAAACTAAAAAACACAAGACAAAAAACACAATTATATGATGTACTGAAGGATTCACAGTGTAAAATGAAGCAAATGAGGTCAGTAACAATCACAAAGCGAAGAAAATTGTGTTTTGGTATTTGAATGAAACAGAATAGTTTGTTTGTCTCATTTCTCTGAATATAGGTTCACAGGCTGTGACATGACAGATGAAGATTTTTCTGCGCTGACTTCAGCTCTGAAATCAAACCCATCACACCTGAGAGAGCTGGCCTTAAGTGGGAATGAATTAGGACAATTGGGAGTAACAAACCTCAGTGATGTACTGATGAACCCACAATGCAAGCTGGAGAAACTAGAGTTAGTATCATTATGCTGTACATCAGTTACAGTGTGATGAAAGTTCATCATGCTTTTAACTATTGGACTGATTCAATGTGTATCAGTAGAAAAATAATTAAACTTTGAAGCAAAATGTGTACTTTGTGTAGTAAACCACACTCTAAAAATACTTTAAATTGTGATTTGTGTACAATATTTTCTTAATTTTCTCAAATTAACTACATATAAATGTCACTTTTTTACATTTTCACAATGTAAGTTCACAATGCAAGCTGGAAAAACTACAGTCAGTAACATTATACTTTACAGCAGTTACAGTGTGATAAAATGTTCCAATTAAGTTATTTATTTAACACAACAGGAGCACAGTATCATCTGGCATTTCCCCATCTGAAGAAAGATTCAAAAGTACTATGAGCTAATGGACTAATGGTTCAGTATGTTATGCAAAAAGTACATAGAGGTCCGTGGGTCTGTATTAATTGTGTTTGAGCTAGCTTTGAGAACTGCACTCTTTTTTCATTGCTTTACAGTATCTTGCTGCACACACATCGTGAGTGAGGAAAGGCTGGAAAAGGAAAGGCTGTATGGAAAACACTTATGCTAGTGTGTGTTTTATGCAAATAACTAACCCCAGGCACTCTCTTGAGTCTGGATTATGATGATGGTTTGAGTTGAGAACTCTGGTATATTGTAACAACGAGGCTGAGGTGGTGTTAGAATCCATTTGCAGAAGTTTATTAACAGCAGACTTAAGTGACAGAAGTGTTAGGCCAGGCAGAAAGTCAAAACCCCAACAGCAGTCCAATCCGTCAACATACACAAGGGTGATCCAAAAGGCAGAGACGAGTAAGCAGGCAAAAGGTCCAAACACAGTCATCAGTCCAAATCAGGCTATCAATGCAAAGGGGTAATCCAACAAACATAAAGCCGGTAATCAGGCAGAATCATACACAGATCAGGCAGGCAGAAAACAATGGAAGTGCTCGGTAAGGCAGGTAAACTGCCAATACTTCACAATGGGCAAATACACAGTCTCTTGCTCAATACTGATCAAACAGTAAATTATCGTAGAAGCAGAGGGAGCGGTCAGTACTCAGGCGAGGGCTCCCTCTGCTGGTGCGGTGTTACATGTAGGTTACAGGCATTCATTTTAATAGTACAAATGTCACTAATGATGTCTAAACTCAACCCCTTCTAAAATAATGACGTTTAAAAAAAGTGCATCCGTAAATGTCTTTGAGCAGGTAACTGTTTTCACTGTTGTTTTGACTCATTGAAAACAATTGCTTAATAAAATAACATTGAAAAAGTTAGGCTGCTCTGACATTCAATTCCCTTTCAGTCGGTCACTCTCGACGTCACGTCGGATGACTGACGAATTGGGATCCCAATTCGTCGGTCATCCGACGTGATGTCTCCGTTCCCTCCTTCAGGGAACGAGGGTTACCATACGTAACAGAGACGTTACAATTCACAAGCATTTTTTGTCCAAATAAAGAAGTGTGCTACGTGTACTGCGTTAGGCTAAACGAGACGTGTCATTTGCACTTACATATTGTTGCTCTTTTGTTAGTTTTGATTGCTTCTATTGTCCTCATTTGTAAGTCGATTTGGATAAAAGCATCTGCTTAATGACTAAATGTAAATGTAAAGATGCTTCAGACTTAGATTGTAACTAGTATCCTCAAATCCTAGTTATAGATTGGTTTATGGTTCTATAATTAAGGTTCCATGTTCGTATATTAGTCACTGTATTGTGTTTAGTCAGGATGAATTTAGTCTCAGGCTCAGACGTCATGCCCACGGAACGTTGGCTGAACGTCTGATGCATATGGCACACAAAAGTGGAAACACTTCAGGAGTTTCGAAGTCGTCATCTGATTGTTTGAATTATACAGGATTTCCGGGAGACGTGTGTGTCGCATTCTATAATTAAAATACGTCCCCAGTCTGTTATTGTGGTGACATTTCCACGCCCCGAAACTTGCCGCTGAACGAAACGAACTGTGATTGGTTGTTTGACATGTTGGTCAAACAGCCTCATGGGCGGGCCTTGGCCAATGAAAGCTGCCATTAGTGATGGGAAGTTCGGATCATTTAACCGACTCGGACCTTTGAGTCTCGTTCAGCAAAATGAACGAAGAACCAGGTGAACTACTTGACTAATTCCAGTACAGAACCTATAGGATGTTGCGCATGCGCGACTGAACGAATCGCTCCCCGATACGACTCGTTCTTCCCGAGTCACATTAAAGATTCGTTCAAAACGAACGAATCGTTCAAGAACGACCCAACACTAGCTGCCATGGGTTCCAGACCTTCAGCCATCAGTCTAAAGGTCTGGCTACGCGAGACTAGGATGAATTTAACTCACACATGAACTGAATATGGATCATTGTTCTTTCTCTTTCTGTCTTTAGTCTGTGTGGATGCAGAATTACAGAGAAACACTGTATCATCCTGACTCCATCCCTATGTTTAAACCTTTCACACCTGAGAGAGCTGGACCTCAGTCAGAATACAATAGAAAACAAAGGAGTGGAGATCTTGTGTGAAATACTGAATAATTCACGGTGTCAACTGAAGAGATTGAGGTGAGGAATATTCCCATACAAAAATCACAATGCTTAAAATCACTTTAACACTGTAATTTTAACTAAAACACTTTTACTCAATATCTCCCATATTTGTGGAAAATAATTCCTCCCAGTGGAGGAATATACACTGAACAAAATTATAAACGCAACACTTTTGTTTTTGCCCCCATTGTTCATGAGCTGAACTCAAAGATCTAAGACTTTTTCTATGTACACAAAAGGCCTATTTCTCTCAAATATTGTTCACAAATCTGTCTAAATCTGTGTTAGTGAGCACTTCTCCTTTGCCGAGATAATCCATCCACCTCACAGGTGTGGCATATCAAGATGCTGATTAGACAGCATGATTATTGCACAGATTATTGCACCCACCGCCACCATGGGCCACTCGATCCACAACGTTGACATCAGCAAACCGCTCACCCACACGACGCCATACACGCTGTCTGCCATCTGCCCTGTACAGTGAAAACCGGGATTCATCCATGAAGAGAACACCTCTCCAAAGTGAATTTATTTAATACACGAGTTTCACAATTTGAGTTGAATTACTGAAATAAATGAACTTTTCCATGACATTCTAATTTATTGAGATGCACCTGTATTAAGTTGAAGAAGAATGAATGTGTGTTCCTGCAGACACTTCGATTGTGCCTTTCATTTTTATTATTATCATGTATAATTTAATGATTTTTTAACTGCCCTTTTATCTTTATATTTTAAACCATTTGGCGTTGTAGAGCATAACTTTATACAATTAAAATATTTGGGTATTTTTATGAATTGGCTGAATTTTATCTATTGTACAATAAGGTGCAGTCACATTATAGAGTACTTTTGCATGGCAAAATTCTGCAGACATAAAAAAAAAAAAGACAGAATGTGAAGTGTGTGTGTGAGAAACGTTTTCCAAGCAGCTCTTTATTCTGCAGCACTTTATATTCTAGAACAATACTTTTATGAAGTGGCTGAGGATAAACTGCTTGAATGATAGCCTCGTTCGTTGTAAATATTTTGTGCAGTTTCGCCTGATGGATGGCCATTGGATTGGCAGAACAAAGCTCCAGCCAGTTCAGAGTTCACTGAAGCAACTTCTGTTGGTCAATTCTGTTAATTTCCCTGTCAAATCTAAACTCCATGCCACTGGAAATCCATCAGGCGAAATTCCTCATCAAAATGCATTCCCATTGAGATGACAGTGATTTTTTTCCCTCCAAATTTTGTTGAGAAAAGGCAAACATTTCTTCCTCTCTTTCTAGTCTAAATGACTGTGGCATTACAGATGTTGCACATTTAACCCAGTCGTTGGCCAAGACAAAAGCATTGACGTTTTTAAAAGAACTTGATCTGAGTAACAATAACATCGGATACTCGAAAAAGCAGCTCACTGACGTGCTACAAGACTCAAACTGTAGTCTGAGGTGAGTGAACATCCTTATGTTGCAGTCAAACAATCATTAACAGACAAACATGGAAATGTAATTTGTTTTAAATGTTTTATATTGTAAACAACTATTGTTTGTGTATATGCCAAACAATGTAAAATCAGTAACTAATTTGATAACAGAAAATGTAATGTTTGCTATAGTTTATTACACTCTGTACTCAAATTAGTTGAATGCAGTAACTACAGCAAATTTATAACTTGTTCCAATGACCACCGTTGTTCTCTTCTGGTTCCTTACAGCCTGGAGAAAGAACCCTGGCTCAGCTGGAGCACTGCAAATATCATTAATAGTATTGGTGGATGGTTAACTCGTTCTAAAGCTCAAGAGAAACCTGTGAAATCAACAGAACAAGAAAAGTGACCAACAGATGAGGAATCCTCAGAAGGTTCTCACTATAGTACTGTTATAAATGCAGCTCCAGAGGAACCTGTGAAATCAACAGAACAAGAAAAGTCACCAACAGATGAGGAATCCTCAGAAGGTTCTCACTATAGTACTGTTATACATGCATATGTGTGATTGTAATTTTGGTGAGATATTGCTAAACAGCAAGCAATAAATACAAACACTGGCAAACTTACAGCTACTACAGCTTAAAATAGCACTGCTTTAACAAATCTAAAGTTATTATAGCTCTTATACATTACTATTTAAAAATTATTACTAATGCATACAGGTGGTAAAGGATTAGACCTTCAAATTAAATAATGCAGCATTAATAGAAACACATGTACATGAGTAATGTTGAGTGATTATGTTGGTTTTGTATTTATCTGAATGGTATTTTAAATTTTTTTACAGGTGAAACAGAGAAGGGAGATGAGGCTAGTGAGTGCTCAAATGTGGTGGATTGGCTGGATATAAGTCCATAAGATAAGGCCTTCATCATAATGATGCTTGGATTAAACTCGTCCATAATGAAACAATTACAATATTGCTAATCATGACCGTGATTGTAATTTAGCACTTAAATATATCAAATGATATAAACTGAAAGTGTAAAATTAAAATATTGTGGGCTACATGTGCACAGATTCAAATCAGTAGTATGCACTGATCTACACTGAAAAAAGGTCTTTTGAATTTACTTAATTTTATTGTGTACATCAGTCCCACATGATCAGAATGTTGTCAACTGACATAATTGTCTTCTTTTTCTCAACTTGATTTTTTAATGATAATATTAAGGTATTAAGCAACCTAACTTGCTTTAAGTAAACTCCATCCAAATGTACCGTAGACATGTTCAAATGTGTGTGAGTGTAAATACAAAATATTAAATGTAAAAATGCATATTGGCATTGACAATATGCAAAAAGCAACAGTTGGTAGTTAAATTTTGTTATATTGAGTTGTCAAACTTCATGGAGGACTGAGTGCAGTTGCTGTGAATTGATTTCACAAAAGAATCAAAACAAAAACACAAATACATAATGCAAACAACACGGTTGTTTTCAGAGTGGATCAACAAAACTAATGTCAATTCTGTATTACGTTTAACATTCAATACATGAAGAAACCCTGCATTAATGTTTACAGTGAATATCAGAGCATATACATACTTGATGTACAGTATCATCACAGTGGATTAAGTACGGCAAGACATTTATAAACTTACTATTAACTGTTGTCAGTGCAGATTAAAAACAGCAAAGACATTTGTAGAAATATTAACTATCACAGTATTTAAAAGTGGATATACAAAATGGTAAACTGTCAGCACAAACGGTGCGTTCTGAAGAAAAAAAACACGTTTACTAAAGTAATCCAAACATGGCACAAAGTGAACAAGTCCAAACAGAGCAAGAGCTTGTTATAGATCACTCCCAAGGTTAAAAAGATAATTTATCCAAAAATGTAAATTCTGTCATTAATTACTCACCCTCATGTCATTACAAACCCGTAAGACCTTCGTTCATCTTCAGAACACAAATTAATATATTTTTGATGAAATCTGAGAACTCTCTGACCCTCCATAGACAGCAAGGGTACTACCACAGTCAAGGCCCAGAAAGGTAGTAAGGACATCATTAAAATAGTCAATTTGACATCAGTGGTTCAACAGTAATTTTATGAAGCTACAAGAACACTTTTTGTGCACAAAGAAAACAAAAATAAAGACTTTATTCTATAACATTTTCTCGCAATTCTTTCTTTTAGACACCTGAACTGACAGCATACACATGAAGAACTCTTAAAAAAAAAAAAAAAAAAAGTAAATGATGTTTATCTGAAAGTGTAACAATGCAATCAGGTTTTCTATAAGGGGTAGGTTTAGGGGATAGAAAATATTGTTTGGTCAGTATAAAAGTAATAGATGTCTATGGAAAGTCCCCACGATTCACAGAAACCTAGTGCGTGTGTGTGTGTGCCTTGAAGTAAAATCCACATAAAGTGTTTTTTTTTTTTCTGAAACAAAGCAGAATATTTGTTTGCTTATGTGTAATGAGTGTGTCATAGGTCTGTGCTTTATTGGTTGTATTCTCCCCTCTTCACCGCCACATTTCCACCGCTTTACACACCCATTTTCTGGAGTCTATTTTAAATCTGAGGTGTGATAGACTGGTGCTAAAACAAAGTGGTTTCATGACGCTTTAACGATTGCTTCGCTTTAAAAGGCATTTATTAACCCCAGTCGTATTACTTTTATGATGAATGAGCTACAAAAACTCGGGCACCATTCAATCACAAAGCTGGGAAGAGCAAGGATATTTTTATATCTCCAATCATGTTCAGCTAAATAAAGAAAATCCGTGTTCACCTGGGATGGGGTGAGGGTGAGTAAATTATGGGATCATTTTCATTCTGCGGTGGACTATTCCTTTAACTTTTCAAAACTTTTCAATGTTGAGCTACAGGCCTAGAAGTCTGTGATGGAGCAGGAGGATAACAGGATGATGATTCCAAGGGCTTGGCGAGGGAGAGGGATGACCCTCGGTGACCCATACACGGAATTTGTGCTCTGCATTTAACCCAGCAGATGTGAGTTCGGTGCCTTTGCTCAAGAGTCTCACCTCAGTCGTGGTATTGAGGGTGGAAGAGAGTGCTGGTTATTCACTCCCCCGACCGATTTCACAGACCTGACTTGAACCTGCAACCTTCGGGTTACAAGTCTGACTTTATAACCATTAGGCCACGACTGCACCCCAGGATTTAGTTTCAAGATTTTGTATGCGAAAAGAGTCTTTAAAAGATGTGAAAATATGTGTTTTCTAGTAAATCACAGTGTGTTTAATTGCGTTTATTATAAAAAGGCATCAGGAAGCAGCACAGTGATCAGGTAGGTGTCTTGTTTAGTTCATATAGTGCAGTGTTTCTCAACCCTGGTCCTGAGAGCCCCCCAACACTGCACATTTTGTATGTCTCCCTTATCTGACACCCATTTCAGGTCCTGGAGTTTCTTTTAATGACCTGATGAGTTGAATCAGGTGTGTTTCATTAGGGAGGCACACAAAATGTGCAGTGCTGGGGGGCGCCCAGGACCAGGGTTGAGAAACACTGATATAGTGTAAGGAGAAATTACGTTTTTCAAAACGTTGAATCAGTTGAACCAGTTGGTTCACAAAATGATTCACTGTTCAAAACGTTCAAAACGCCACACACACACACACACACACACAAAAAAAAGTTTTATTGCATGTCTAATGTATTAAATGCAATTAACAGATCATAATACCACTAAATATGAAATGTCTTTACTTTAGGCCTATGTGTTGTATTATTGTATTGCCTGTTTTTTTTATTTTTATTTTATGGAGAGCTTGGTTAATCAGACAAATAAGAGACTTAACTACAACTCTTCCTTTTTATTATACAAATGTGTCATTAACTGTCAACAAATATATAAAAACTGATCCAAATTATTGAAAAAATGTATCCAGATTTAAACCAGATTTAACATCTGTCAGTTTAAATCTAGATTAAAGACCTAACCTGGCTTACACATAACACACTAACACATTCCTAATATTCAAATCCGTAAAAGGATTTTTAAGCTGCATTAATTAGGACAACCGGAACCGGGAACACTTCCCATAACACCCGATGTACTTGCTACATCTTCAGAAGAATGGCATCTATGCTAAAATTTGTCTTGTTTAATTTCAGCTATTTTTTGTTTGTCTTGTGGACTAAATGTAAACATATTTTATGTAAAATATCACTTCGGCTGGTTCTTCCTGTATACGTTGATTGACAGATGTCTCGTCCAGTCAGCGGTGACTAATCCCAAACCAGTGGCGCTGTCTCAAACTATACCTATCTCTTCTGGTTTGTCTGATTTGTAGTTGTGTTTTCTGACTTGTTAATTTGTTTTCGATTTGTCGTTGTGTTTTCTGACTTGTTATAATGTTTTCGGATTTGTCGTTGTGTTTTCTGACTTGTTATTTTGTTTTCGAATTTGTCATTGTGTTTTCTGACTTGTTATAATTTTTTCTGAATTGTTGTTGTGCTTTCTGAATTGTTATTTTGTTTGTTAGACTTGCATTTGCGTTTGTAATTTATTTTGTTTTCAGAATTGTGATTTGTTTTGCACTTCTAGGTCACCGTAGTATATATACAACCTCCTCTAGCCCCTGATGTTTTCAATGCGCCCAGATGTGCCCAGAGCTCCCTATTATTGTTTCACATGTAAAGTCTTATTTTGAACACTAGATGGCGATCTATGCTCCAGTTATACACACTTTCTATTAAATTAACACCTGCTGTTAGATTTAACAATTTAGTGGGGGAAATGCCTACATTGATAACAATTTATAGTATTATAGCAGATGTTTCACCAGTGACAGATTTATTATTATTATATTATTATTATTGTTGATGTTGTTGTTGTTATCTAAATTAAATTATGTATTTATTTATTTATTTTGCTGCTCTTAATATGGAGTTTTATATAGAGTGATCAGTTATGTGATATTTATGGCTCCGGAGTTATGCTACACACTAATGAAGACAAAGCATTTTAAGACTTTAAGGTCC